CTGCAAAATGCTATCTTATCAATATGGGCCAACATTTGCGTGCACATTAAATATATGTAACGTAATATCTAAACATTGCTCTCAGCAGTGGTGACGGCATCTGGATGTTTGTTAAGAGTATATCGCTGCAATTTATTTCCAAATTTTTTTTTTTATTATTTAAACAAAGCATAGGATTCAGCTCCCACCGGAAATTTCCCAGCCCTGATCTCATCAAGTTAGCAGTTATTCAGAGCCTAAATCAGCCATAGAGACAAAGGGTGGGAGTCTCAGTAATCAGACTCATTTAACTTACAGAGACCAGGACTGGCAAGATTTTCATGCTTAACAGGTATATCATCGTCATCATAACCTTAAAATGTACAACACAATGTACATACATTTCTTAGTTTTTATTCTTTTGTATTGGAACCTAATTAAACATTTAATAAAATTGGTAATACTACAAAGTCTATAAAGGAGGATAATTCTGTGAGGTTTGATGGACATCAAATGATCAGGTTTGCCGGACAAGCATCATAAATGAATACCCTTAGGGATGATTCGATCATAAATGAATCACCTTAGAGATTATCCTGACAATCGATCTATTTTAGAGAACTGACATGTTAATATTTAATTATAATTCTTGTGATTGATTATTAATAGAACAATTGTTTGTTGCATTCAATCGTTCATGCAGATCATTGGCAACTAATTCCATTACAGGTAATTTTATCATTTGTTAATTGAAGGTTATTCCCGGTTATGTTTCATGATAAGTTATTAAAATTATATTCCCTGTATCTGAGCTAATTGAGCAAATCCTGAGATTCCCTACAGAGGGTATATTACTGATGTATTTTATACTCTAGGATAAAATGTGAAAATATATTGAGCTTGTGTTCCTTCCCTAGTAAAAAAATTAATATACAATATACATTTATGCTAAGCTAAGTATATACTATACACATTTACACATTTATGTACTTAATAAAAATACATCCAATTGCACTTTTGTTTCATAAAGAGTTGTTCCAATTTAGCAGACTTTAAGTAGACCAATTTAGTATTCCAAAAGTACAAGGGTATTTTTATTAAGTATAAATATGTAAATGTATTTGTAGTGTAGGCCTACTTTGCACAAAATAAATATAAATACATTTTAGTATAGGCCTAGATTATAGTGATCATGCTATTCTTTCTAATAGTGATATTAAACACGTTTTAGATTTAATATTAAGAAGTGTGCAATAAAGTAGTCCAAAAAAGTTTCATTATAAAATGTAGAACTTTAAGAACCCATTTAAATGGATGATGGGACTTGTATCTGGGTTTTGATTCATACTAGCCTACATTTCCTTTTATATACATTTCCTTATCCTGAGTGAGCCCATTCTCCCCTGCCAAAGTGCCTTGGGAAGCATTTTTACCATGCTTCAATATCTGACGCTTTAGGCGCCCTTTAGCGTCAGTTATATGACGCCCTAGGATCGCGTGTACCCTACCCCCACCCTAGACCTAAACCTAACCGCGTCCTCTAACTGACTCTTTCCTTTAGCGTCAGTTACGTAGATGACGGCGTAGGATCGCGTCATGTAACTGACGCTAAAGGGCGCCTAAAGCGTCAGATATTGAAACATGGTCAAAGGTGACGCCTTGGGGTGAGAATGAGTTGGTAAATTCTGTTCTCTGCCTAGCTAATCCAGCTGCTCGGCCCCAGCAACTATGCTGTCTGTGTGTCTCCTCCATCTGGCCTTAGGGTCGAGTCTCGTTTGCTGATCTCTCCTACCCTGCACTGGGACCTCTGCTGCTGTCTCTCACCAGTCAAGTTTTGACATTTGTGTTCTCTACAGTTCTGCGTCTGTGATCTCTGACAGAATAATCTGGCCTACTGAAGCATATTTCTTAACCTCGGAGCTCGGTCTGTCTTAAAAGGTTTATACATGCTATTTTAAATTTCTTTTCTGTATGGAGTTTTTTTTTTATTCTGTTTTTATTTCCAGAACCATATTTGCCATCTCTCAGCTATATATACAGTAACCCAAAAAGACTAAAGTACAAATTACTCCCATGTTATCACATCATAATTTTAATGCTTAAATTGTTTTTGTTGACATGTTGTACAGTTGCGACTGCGAGACAAACAGTCTCTTTGAGTGAAAAGAGAATGTGAACTATTAGTTTCTCAATTACTTTTTTGTTCCTTAAACAATATTATGTGCGTGACAGTCTGTTCCAAAGACTTAGCATGCACAAAAACCCTCTGATGATAACAAAACCAAGTTTGAATTCCTTGTTCAGGCAGTTTTTAACTTGGACATGGACTAGCTGGTGGAACAACTTTTCTATTCACCATCTTAAAACTAAATGGGCTTTCTTTCTAACTAAAGATCTTAATATAAAACAAAAATATATAAAACATACTGAACCTTGAGCACAGGAGGAAATCAACACAGCACACACTGTACTTGCTGGTCCATTTATCATTACCAAAGGAAACAATTATTTTAAGTTAATGTTTGTACATTGTTCTTGTCACATTGTGAGCACATAAGTTGCTAACTATATTAAAAGGCACAATATGTATTTTTTTTCACCACAAGAGGGCGCAGTCTCCAATAACAAATAACAAAGGCATAGGTTGATGACGCAGTGATGAGCTGAATGATGGGACTTGCTGTCAAGCCGATGGATCTAATAATATTTATGGATGAGTGCAAACATTAATGTTTTTTAACATTACTGCGGTACGAAGCAGGTTGCGATTTCTAAAGAGACAGATATCACACACGAGTCCCGCGGATATAAAGGAATAAGGACCTTTAATTCTACCGAACTACCCACAAGTGCTTGATTACTCTCACAGGTCAGTTTATTAGACGAACTCAACTTGTGAGGTAACGCAGCACTGCTTCATTTGGTCTAACACCGTGTCCTAACTACACGCGACGCGATAAAATTCCAGCAACAGCAAGTGTGTCTGTCCACACTAGACGCGACGTGACTGTGAGACGCCACACATTCAGAACAGCAGGCTCTCCGTGAAAGTGCACTGTTGGCCCGCACTTGCATTGGAAATGGGTAAGGACATAATCAAATCAAGAAATAACATTATTAAAAATCAAAACACTATCAAAATATACTCATTGACTAATTTTGTTATGAAGTACAGTCATATGTTTGCATAGAATTCATTTTGAACGCTATATTACATGCTTTCAAAATCTGAGGTAAATTATCCGTAATCGCTTGTGGCACAGTGACCTAATGTTAACTAAAAATAAATATGTATACTCATAACCAGTGTAATTTCTTCGATCTGTCAGCCGCGACGTCGCAGAAATAGGAACCGTTTCTAAATTAGAAACTTTGCGTGTCGCCGTCGCGTCTGGTTAGGACAAAAACTCTGATTAACATGGAAAAGATACCTTTTATTGCGTGTCACGGCGTCGCGTCGCGTGTAGTTAGGACACGGTGTAACATTACATTATCACACTAAAAGGCATTTAAATGCGTGTTAAAAGTTATGTTATACTACGTGTTAGTTTGTTTGCTATACGAAGCAGTAAGCTAGAATTAGAATAACATACTGACCATATTCTAACATTTCATCATGTTGAGCTAACGTTATATAACATTGATTTGTTTTACATTTGCTCACCTGTCTAATAAAGCTGTCAAGTCGTGACTCGTGAAGCTCTGTCAAGTCCAAGTTAGTCATGGACGTTGAGCTCTCGGCATCTCAAAAACGCCACGCTGATATTGATCCTCATTTCAGTTCTCCTTCTTTGTCCCAAAGTCTGCTTGCCATGGTCTATGTTTGAAAAAAACAACAACAACTGTCTACTTGGGATATTGTTAGTACACAACTGCAGGAAATATATCACACTGTGCAAGTGATTTTTGGATATTTTATTACAAAATTCTTACATATTGTACCTTTAATGTCCAATATTTTGAAATCTTAAAGCAGGATGGATTCTGATTGGCTGTCAATGTATTTATCATTCATCTTTTGGAAAAAATCATTCTAAACTTGATTTCAATTAAAGTTTCTTGTCGTTATAGTTGTTTGAAATCTGCTATTCTTTTACATTCAAAACAATATGTATCTGTTATTGTATATCAATATCTTTTAATGTGAAGATGTTTATTTTAATGACATTTGTCATCATTTACGCACCCTAATGTTGTTCCAAATGCGTATAACTTTCTTTCATCTGCAGAACAAAAAAATGATGGGTTGCACTTTATTTTACAGTATGTAAAATATTTATTTTACGCTTTATTTACACATTAACTGTGCATTCAATTTATTTTACAGTGTCCTTAAATGTTACATGTACTTAGTAGTTACCATAGTAATACCATAATATCATAGTAATAACAGTAAGTTATGCATAATTACATGAAACTAAACCAATTCCTAATCTAACCCGAACCCTTTAGTAAGTACATGTAGTTGCTTAATATTACTCAGTAATTACACTATAACAATGACACCTTAAAATAAAGGGATACACTTTATTGTAAGGTGTCATTGTTACAGTGTAATACATATTTAAGTACCGAGTAATATTAATGTAGTTATGGTAGGATTAGGATTTGGTTGAGGGTAAATTGCATAATTTACTGTTATTATTACCATAGTAAATGCATGTAACATATGTAACATGGACACTGTAAAATAAAGTGTTACCAAATTATGAAAGGATTTGGGTCCAAAATAACATTGAACCATTGGCAACATTCCCCCGCCCAAATATCTTCAGGTTCGGAAATGACATGAGGGTGAGTAAAGATGATAGAATTAAACATTTTTTGGAGATTAACTATCTGTAATTATACTTTTCTTATAAAGAGGAAGATTCATTTTCATACTAGAGCCGTCTGCTGAAGTATTAATATTGCAAGTAAATAATTTAATGTCTACTCTTTTTATTTCATTGTCTTTGTGTTAAACTTTCATTTTCTCATGAAGATCCTCCTCTTTTGAGAAGCTATAAAATGGGTTCTGAAACAGGTAAGTTATTTCATTCTCCTCCTGATCAAAGATGGATCTGCAAATCTCAGTTTTTCTTCTGTTCATTCTGTTCACTGCAGGTACAAAGACAAACAATATTTATTTTCAATGTTGTTGCATACAAATACAGGTCATTGATCTCTCTCTCTCTCTCTCTCTCTCTCTTTACTAAAGGACACTCTCTCAACTGTAACGTGTGTCTGTTGGGCAGTTGTGCACAGAAGACATGCTCCAGTGGAGAAAACTGCCTCAGTTTGCTATATGCTGGTAAGTCCAGTATGCTGAAGCTTTTAATCACAATATACAGTATTATCATGATATCCAATAAGTTGAAAAACAGTATTGCCATGGTCATACTATATGTTTAATAAATGAATTTCTTAAAACAAAAAAGAACTGAACATTTAAATAAAATAATAGACAAAAATATATAAAGTAAACGAATGTTTCAAACAGATTATATAATTTGCTATAATTTATTGGTGCTGCTAAATGTAAGTATGTGACCCTGATCACAAAACCAGTCAAGTCGTACGGCAATAGCCAACAATGTTGGCAATGCAATAGCCAACATATTTGTGGCAATAGCAATACATTATATAGGTCAAAATTATCGATTTTTCTTTTATGCCAAAAATCCTTAGTATAGTAAGTAAAGATCATGTTCCGTGAAGATATTTAGTCAATTTCCTACCGTAACTGTATAATGTTTTTCATTGATTTTCTCAATGTTTCCATTTTTTGATTCCAGATTTTCAAATAGTTGCATATTGGACAAATATTATCCAATCCAACACACCATACATCAATGGAAAGCTAATTTATTCAGCTTTAGGATTATGTATAAATTTCAATTTAAAAAAAATGACCCAGTGATTGGTTTTGTGGTCCAGCGTCTATATGTTGAACTTGTCAGTCGGCTACTTCTTTTCTGGGTGGAATTTACAACTGTATAAAATGTTCTATATAACATACTAAAATGAATGTTGTTTTCCCTCAATTTATTGTTCCATAATATAATTTGTAAATTTCAAATATTTTTTTAAACGAGAAAGTTTACAAAGTTTGTCTTTCCGTTCTACTTTCCAGGTCCAAATGATATTTCTTCAGCGACAACTAAACTGTGTTTTCCAGCAAGTAACTGTACAACTGGGTCCCTCAACATCGGCAGTTTTAAGTTCTCTTCTTACTGCTGTAACACAGACCTGTGTAATTCCCAAGATGCTTCAGGTATTGTACTTACAGTCAACAGTTTACATTCATAAAACATTTACCAAGAAATCATTGTTGTGGGACTTTCTATTGGGGACTGTCAGGCGGGAGAGATTTTGGGTTTGTTCACACTTGTCAGGTTAAACAAATAAAACAAATCCTGGTGCGATTGCTTTGTTGGTACAGTTTATTTTAATAAGTGTGAACACTGCCATAGAGCTCTGGTGCCAAACAAGCGGACCGAGACTGCTGAAATGAACCAAACCAAACCAACTCTGGTGAGGCTCGACTGAAATATGAATGCAACACGGGCCAAAGGCCAGTTATTCCAGTTTTGCAAAAGATTTTGGAATGATGAGCACCTATGTTGTGTGCACAATAAGACCAAGGCAGCGTTTCCTGATAACATTGTCTTTTAGTGCGCTACAAAGATTAATAACTTAATTAAAGGTATACCGTTTCTAGGCGTGTTCGCCGAAGCATACCAGAGGAAGTTGCTTAAGATACAACTTTCTTCGTGCGACGTTACCAGATGCTGTCTGTGGCGATGCTGCTGAATTTGTTGATATCGATGGCTCGAGAATCAGCTATTCTCTCACGCAGTGGCTGCTTTACTGTGTTATGTGAGAAAGCGGTGTTCTTTATAAAATAATCACTTCAGAAATAGAGAGCCTAAGTCCCGCCCCTCCGCTTCCGGCTCATGGGACCTTATTTCGGAAAAAAAATGAATGGTAGTCAATGGCGAGAGACAACTTATCTTTTTATTCCGTCTGAACTGTGCCCTCAATTACACATATGATGTTTGTCAATTTAGTTTGTAGTCTTTGTAATTACGTATTTTCACAGTCTTATACCTCAACGGTTTTACATCAAACTGTGCCTTTCTTTACTTTAAAATGTATCTTTTAAATTGACAAACATCATATGTGTAATTCAGGGCATAATTCAAACGAGATCAAAATATTTGTTGTCTCTCGCTATTGACTACCATTCAATATTTTTCCGAAAAAAAGGTCCCATGTTGGTCGACCTGAAGGGGAGGGACTTAGGCTCTCTATAGTGAAAAACACGGCAGTAAAATCACAGACTAACCCCTGTAAATGAAGAAAATAGCATACAATCCTATTACAAAGAATAGGGAGTCTCTACAACAGTTCTATGACAGTATACGTATAAGTATACTATAATTATTTTTTGTATATTTATATAGTTAAGTATATTTTTTACCAAAAATGACATTAAAATGCCCGCCCCAACCATTTAACTCGGGAAATCATGCCACACTAACAACAACAATCAGTGTAATTACAATTTGATTCTGTGCATGCATGAAAATACTTGAATTAGCCTAATTGAACACTGGGTGTATATTCAGTATTTTATTCGTATACTAAGATGTAAAGACCTTTTTTGCCACCTGTTAAGTATGACTGTAAGTTACAGAAGGTATAGGCCTACTTAACAAAGAACATTTCGGGAAACGTCTATTAACGATAAGGTACAGGTAAAACTTAAGAACGACGTAGCGTTAAGAAGGTTTCAGGAAACGCAGACCTGAAAAAGGTAAAGAAAGCTTTTTTTTCCTTTAGATCCCTCGAATCCTCCGAATGGAAACAAATGTTACTATTGTGATGGACAGAACTGCTCAAAAGTATTGAGCTGTTCAGGGAGTCAAGACCGCTGCATTAAAGCAACAGGTGAGAAGGATGAAGTGATTTTTTTTCCAAATCTTTTTTTTAATCTTATGCATTTCATACAGATTTACCAATAACCCGCTTAGACACCTCAGCCTTTTCAATTATGAATCCACTTTCATTTTCTTTTTTTTTCACTAGGGACTTTGGCAAATCAGACATTGAAGGGCTGTGTCTCTAAATCATATTGTGATGGCGCAGCATTACTTAGTGGTGTTGATGTTGGGAACTTCACATGTTGTGAGGGGAACCTGTGTAACGGGTCTCAGAGTGTCACCCAGAGCGTCCTGATCCTCTGCGGTTCTCTGCTCTCATACTTCCTGATGCACTGAATACAGCAGATCTTCACATTTTACAATCAGACACACTTTACTGAATATATAGCTTGTGTTTTTATCTGTCCAAGATTCAACCTGGTGTAAGGAACTTAAAGGGTACATATCATGCTTTTAAATCATTCATTTTTACATATAAATCATACATTTGTGGTCTATATAAAACATAACTGCAATGCTTGGGTCTGAATTCCTCATTATTATAGCTCCACGAGCCCCTTTTCTACCCCTTTTCTGATGTGCCTCTTTGAGTGACCCGTTTCAATGCGTCCCCTTTAAATAAAAAGGAGATGCGTCATACCCCGCCCGCTCTCCAGGTCGCTGAGTCCAAAACATCAAAACAAAAACAAAGAAAGACAAAGGTACTGATAAACCACGACCACCATGTGTTTTAAGAAAGTAAAGTACTTTATTTTTATTAACGATATTTACAGCTTATCGAAATGCTCTGTTCGTCGTCTCCAAAGATAGAAAGAATTTAACGTTAACGTTACCTCTCATTTAGACAAAGTCAATCGGCAAACCCTTCTGTATAACGTTACTGGCGGAGGTTGTTGAAGTGGGAATCCTTGAAGTGCTTCAGGTCATTACATCCAAAAACCGAACATTTTTACTTGCCCTCTCGTAACTTCTGCATCATTGAGCTCGGACTACAAAATCGGAGCGAGAAATAATAATGGCGGATTGCTCGAAGTTTCCGCTGCAAATACGCTGACGCTGTAGTTCAAAAAACGTCATAGAAAACAGAAAAATCTGAACAGGTTGAAAAATATGACCAAAACAGAACATAAAGATATAAACGAAGCACCTGAAGAGAATAATTTCATATTTTCTGTACTTATAAACACTCCAAATATACAACAAAATGCATTTAAGGGCTAAAAAAGTGGATTTTGCATTTGTCCCCTTTAAAACAATATAGAAAATCTGATTAGTTGAAGGAAATATATATATACATTTTATGAAATATTAAAGAAATTGTAACAATCACTGAAATAAAGAGTAATGATCAACTTTGCATTTGTTTCTGTGTTTATTTTTAAAACATAAAATTATTAAAAAGGAGGCAGGGCTCATTTGCATATTCACAGAACTGTGTGAAATGATCGGCTTCAACACATCACCACAATGTTGATAGCTGTAAAAGCGGGCTAGAGCAAATGAGACAGCAAACGGTTGTGACTGACACTTTCTAAACACACTTTGTGCAGCTTTGAAACCTTTGCAACCAGTGTTTGCGTTTTAAACCAGTGGGGCCCATTTCAAACTGCCAAACTCACATGATTTCAGTAAATGAGACTTTGTTGCATCATAACCATTTTAAAATTTTGATGGTTGCTGGGAGGCGATAATCTCAGTGAACACTGTAAGTATAGGATTCACACGTTCTCGACTTAAAGGGACAATGTGTACTTTATGTATTTTATTATTTAAAATCAATATTTTTATTCATAAATATGTCCTCAATAGTGTACAAATACCTCTGCCAATTATCTGACTTGTCCTTGTAAACAAAGAATTTAAAAAATATTGTTGGTTTAACTTAAAAAATTGAGTAACCTGGCTGCCTTAAAATTTTAAGTTCATTGAAATGGAAAAATTGAGTTCATACAATGAAGGAGATTGATATAATCATCAGAAACTCTAAATTATTATGTTATCTGAACTATATAAATTATTTAAATTGATTTGATAAAAGAAAAAATGTTGTGATTACAAATCATGAAAATATTTTTTACAGTGGGGACAGGTACAGTAGGTTCATGGAGGCTTCCATGTACTGTAGTTCCGCCATTTTGAAAAAACTATAATAGCTGAGAGGGACAAAAAGTGCTAGGCCAACGAGTTTCCACAGCACGTTTTCATTCAGAGCCAGCGTGACGTGACTGAAAGCAGCAGAACCAGAGGAGCAGAGCGGTGAGAGATGCTTCACGGCCCCTGCATTGCAAATACTTGTCGCCAGAAAAGTCCAAAATAGACTGTAAAAGGAAACGTGACCGGAGATTACAAAATACACAAGTTAATGTCGGGATAGCTTTTTTCCAGGTGGATCGAGCTAATGCAGGAGATTTCAAAAGAGTCCTGCTTTCTTCTCGACAGGTAAGGCAATGTTAGTCTTAATTACAAGTTTTTTTTCATTGTTTGGTTGTGTTTTTTATTTTATACGAACATTTATAGTTAAAAGTTGATGATATCTAACAATGCATGTACGTACTTTAGAAAATATAACGAATAAAGAAGGCTAAACTATTACAATAGTTCATGTTTTTCAGTAATTCATACTGTAACATTTGTTAGTCCGTTGAGTGAAGTTGCTGTTTGATGAAAATAACAAACCTCTACACCCGTAGAAGACATCCTGCCATAGCTTTTTGGTTAGGAATGGCTACCGTAGATGCAACGTGCATTTGAAAAAGCGAGGCGCTGGAGAGCACAATTTGTTTGAATGTAAAATACATGTAATGCATTGATTACAAATGCTGCAAGGGGGGCTCAAGCAAGCACCTTTCTGAAACCTATAACTAACTAACGCTCTTGTGAACTTAATGGACTCAAGTATGCAGCAATAAGTCCACAAGACCGCAAGTGCGCATAAAGTGTGTAACTTGGGACATGGACCATCATATGAGCAGATGACAGCTCTCTCAGAATACACCTTATTCACGGCAGCGCCATCTTTGATTTTTAATGAGAATGAAAGCGAGGCTGTGAGGGATAGACTTGCATCACTTCAATGGGATTGTTCTGCTAATGAAACACTGGAAAAATATCTTTCCAAGAAATTTAAGTTTACAAAAAACTCCCGAAATGTAAGCTGTGGAAAATTGTAAGTAATCTCGCCGCTTTATTCAGCTTTTTACGGCGGATGCCACTGGAAACACGGTAAGTCTATCCCTCACAGCCTCACTTTCATACCTGTCATGGCGCTGCTCTGAATAAGGTCTATAGACCCTTTTCACATTTCCAAACAGAAGTCGTCATAGTTGGGTTTAGTTCTATGCCGATGAATGAGAGACTACATTAATTATATATATTTTTTATAATAATAATGGAAGCAATGCTTCCAATGCTTAAATGCTTAAAATGCTTAAAAGAAAGAAGGTGCTTCCATATTTGAAAAGGGTTAACAAAGATTTTATTCAGGAGACTCATCTTACAGTTCGAGCATATAGAAAACTCAAGAGAGTATGGGTTGGTCAGGTCTATTACTCGTCATTCTCATCTAGTGGTCGATGTGTAGCATTACTAATCCACATAAAAATTACAATTTAACCTGATTAATTCACACTCTGAAAATAGTGGGAGGTACTTAATTGTTGAATGTGAGTTGAACAGGGAACGTACACGTATATCCTTGATAAATGTCTATGGTGACCATGATGATCCAAACCTTTATTAGTAAATTATTACTGTTAAGGGCAACTGTATTTTTGGAGGTGACTTTAATCTCGTTCTAGATTGTCTTAAGGATTGCTCCTCAAAAAAAAAAATCTCCTAAATCAAAAGCAGAAGCTATTCGGAGTCAAGGAATGACTGACTTGGGGCTGCTGTATGATGCAATCTCTATCCAGATCAAACTGACTATTTTAACTTATTAGCATCACATACAATAACTTACCAAGGACTGCATTTTTCTTCTTTGGGTCTAGGTTCACTGGATATTTAAAAAGTATTTTTAATTTCCATAAAGCACAAATATACTCCAATGGTATTATATCAAGTACCTTTACATTATCTATACTCTAGTGGTTGTAGGTGAACCGGCTCTATATCTCCCTTATTATTTGCCCTGGCTGTTGAAACTCTTGCTATTGCAATAAGGTCCATAATGTAATAAACAGACTTAGAATAAACACAAATTATCCCTTTATGCTGATTTACTCCATATGCTTTTAGAATTGTCCTGTATTGAATGACTTTTGGGAATATAGAATTGATATATCTTCAAAGATTATAGGTATGACAATGATTCTAAAATTTGGATATTTGGGGATACTGATTTATCTCATCATAAAAAAAAAAGTATTTCACACTGTTGGCAGGAACTGTGGGGGGAAATGTATATTAGTGGACTGGAAGTCGACTCATTCTAGATCAAGAAAATAATGGATCAATAAACATTTCATATTTCACCCCTGAGAAAATACTTTTTAATGTCAGGACATCATGAAGACTTTTGGAAAAATTTGGGGATCTTTTCTGGAGCATTAACCATCTTATTGCAAATTAATTGGCATGACATTCCTTATTTTTAGTTTTCATTTGAATGATTAGTGCAGCTAAATAAGTGAGGTCAGAATTGTGTGTTATTTTTGTTTTTTTTTGTTGATGTTTTTTTGTTATATAGTTTGATTTTTTAACTGTATGTTTTGTTTCATGAATCTTAACTGAAAATAAAACTATAAAAATAAAAGGTTTGGAGGAATGCTAAAGAACTTCAAAAGATATATAGCAAACTAAGTTTTCCTAAGCTACTTGAATTTTTCTTTTAGAACTGTTGTACTGTAACTGGTTTAAATAAAGTGTAAAACAACAGTTAGCCACATTTATCAGCAGGTGGCAGCAGTTGATTTTTTTTCTTTCTTTTTTTTTTTCAAAATAACAAAATTAGTTTTTTTTTTATTTCACAATTATGTTGTATACATTGTCACAAAATTATTGTATTAATTGCAATTGTTATTGTTTGTTAAATTTGTAAAACAATTTGTAAAATTGTTTGTTAAATTTTAACAATTTTAAATTGTTAAACTCACAGAAGTCAGCAGAAAATAGAAACTACAAGCTGAACAACTGAACAAAATTGGCTTCAAGTGAAAATCGTCATCTTCAAACTCTTGATGATTGCCAGTCCTTATTGATTAGCCTCATAGATAACACTGATGATAATCAGCAGGTCAACAAACGGGTGAAGTAAAAACTGCTGTAGAAAATGTCAAAAGTTTTCATTTAGAAGGAACCAAGATCAAATGATTAGCCTTTTACGTTTATGTTTGTGCTCAAATCTGCTTTTGTGCATTCAAAATGATATTATTAATATTAAACACCAATTATTATTACAGCAAGCGCATGGATTACTAAAAATGTCTAATCTAATCTTCTAAGGATAAAAATGTTCGTCTCTTATACAATCAAAACCCTAAAGAAAACCTAATCAATTAGAGGTTATCAGAAATGTTTGTGCTGCTGATTTAATCAAATCTAGAGTGTGTTCCCTGTTTAATCAATAACTGAACTTTGACTAAATTGACTTGGTCAAATTCAGAGTAAAAGAGCCAAAATATTAGCAGCACTGATAACTGATTTTTTAACTGATAAATGACATTTAGTTCATAAATATATTTAATTTAAATGCATAGTATGAACAATATTCGATATGTTAAATATGCACTGCAATCTTAATATATATATATATATATATATATATGGAGAGAGAGAGAGAGAGAGAGAGAGAGAAATGCCAAAAAAGTGGAATAAAAAAAATTATATAAAAGTAATACAAATATAAAGAAATTATTTTAAAAAATATACAAAAAAGTAAGAATACCAAAAAGATATATCTAACTAATAATTATGAAATAAAAGAAAAATATATATTTGAAATTTAGTGGCAAAACAAAAAAGGGGGAGATAAATGTATTTATGTATATTAAAGATGTATGTATATAGCTATATGAATAAATAAAACCATAGCCTATTACTTAATTAATAATATATATCAATTAATTAATATAAAATTAAAAGAAAATACGTATAGGCTACTAAAGTATATAAAACTACTGTTGATGATTTAAAAAAAAAATCTATTCTTAAATTTTTCTTATTGATTTATTTGCATTATATTTATTTTTTATATATTATTTTCTTAATTTCCCTTGAAATGACCTTAAGCTCATTTGAATAGAGAGAGCGAGAGAGAGAGAGAGAGAGAGAGAGAGAGAGAGAGAGAGAGAGAGAGAGAGAGAGAGAGAGAGATTGGCAGTGTGTTCACCTGATTGCGGGGCTTCTTTTCATCTTCTGCCGCATCAGGGTCATTTCACCCGCGGCGTCGAGGATGAAGTGATCGCGACACCTGCACGGGGTTACATCTACACTGAAGCTTTCAGCTTTCACCCACAGCATGACCATGAAGAAGAGCAAACCGATTGCTCTGGACCGCGATATTCATTCCTTGCTGGATCTGATCGGCGGCTCCGGTGTCGTAGTCGCCGTGGGGATCATTGCCATGCTGTCGGTGTGCGCCGCGTTCTTCATTTACCGATCCTTTAGAGGTCAGCCCAGGAAGAGTGACGAGGATAACGGCAGCGAAACGGCGGGAGAAGAAGCGAGCTCGGCTCGGAGAAGGAAAATAGAGAAGGACGATCGACCAACCGAGTCAACAGGTAAAAACGGACAATTGTTGAAGCATAGTAGGTTAAATAGTAGTGGTGCACACATGTGAGACTTTTTTATTTTATTTTTTTGAGGGGGGATACCATACCACATATAAAATATCACTATTATCTGTCAGATATCACGGTAATGGGAAAATAAATCGCACGTGCGACAGATGGTTAAACGGCGAAAAGCTATCTCGAAGAAACAGCGCGAGCGGCCATTCAGAAAACTTAGCCAATCAGAAACGTTACACTACACATGTTCTTTAAAAAAATGTGGAGGGAGGGGTTTTGTAGATGAATTATGTTATTAATTGTTATATAATCATGTTTGGAAATAATTTTAGCCTTAAATCTAGGTCACACTCTACTTTGAGCATGCAACATTTCTTTGGACAAGGCAACAAACAGGAAATGATGTCGGGCTTTAAAGCTTCTGTTTTTAATAAAAGAATAATTTTATTATTATAATTTTTACATCACAAAAATGTGTAAATATACACTACCATTTAAAGGTTGCGGTCAGTAGGATTTAAGACAAAAAAAAATCAAGTAGCACAACTGTTGACATTGACAACATTGATAATCATAACTTAAGAAATGCCAAAACCCCAGAGCTGCAGGTTTGCGGGAAGATATACAGTTGACAGATAGTACTGTTTAGTACGTTCATATATATATATATATATATATATATATATATATATATATATATAGGTTAAAAAACAAAAACAAAGCTTATCCGAATGTTTGTGTAACATAGGTTAAAACCCGAAAACAAAGCTTGTCCGAATGTTTGCGTAACATCCTTTGCTGGCTGGATATTCCACAATCTTGTTGAAAGTTTGACAGTGACTCTCTTGTTTAGCTGCCAAAATACAAGATGAACTGAATGTCATGAGAAAGTGCAAAGTTAAAGGCAGCTCTGATGTAGCATTTCATTTCAAAGAGCCAAAGCCTGAAAGGTAAACTTACACAGCACTCTTTTGTCAGAGCACTCTCACTGTAAGCGATGGTATTTCTTTCTAGAAATACAAATCTAGTTGGCATATCAAGTTCTAAAGTCACAAGTTTATTTCTACTGATCTGAATCGTTGTTTTCAGACTCTAGTCTCATGGTTTTTAGCTGTGACTTTACAAATGTTTGACATTTGCATGGTTAGATTGCTGCTCGATTACTGAGGAATTTTGATTGATTTAATAATAGACGAATAAAAATTGAAAAAGAATTCCTATATAAATTTTTGATCAGTTGAAAGCACATGTGCTAATGCATTTTCAATCTCTTTTAGGTGAATGCCAGGATGGAAAGCGTTGCAGCGAATCCGGTAACCTCTCTGACACAGACAACATGCTCCTTCCCACTGAGATATCAGAGAAAGACCTGAATGAAAGCACTCTCAAGGATTTGGAGGAGATTACAGATGAGCTTCTAACAGACTTAGAACCTGAAATGCGTGACAAAACAGATTCTGATCTGGATCAGTGGGTAGAAATGGATCTTGATGAAAACACAGAATGTGAGGATCATATTCAGCATGAGGATGATGATAATGGTGGACGTGAGGTTTTGGCTGATGTGAGTGTCCGATTGACACAATTAGATTGCCAACGTGAGGAATATCTCAACAAATCTGAGACGGGACTGAGTGTAGACACAGATGAACCATCTGAAACTGAAAGCGCTCTAGAGTTCATTTATCAGAGACATCATCAAGATCATGTCACTGTGTCTTCTTCAGACCAAGCGGTTAAACAATCCAATCCTATTAAGATCCGTTTAGAGGAAGACAACAAGACGTCAACAGTGGAGGAAGCGAGCAAGAAGTTTGAAGATCACCATGACTGCCGTTTTCCACCAACAAATAACTTCGACTGCTGTTGCTATGACAATAAGACTATGGTGAACCACAGCAACAGGTTTGACTTCCACAACTACTTGGGTTTCCAAACTGATAATACCTTCCTCGTTGGGTCTTCAACACAGGAGAGCGTCTCACATGAGTCTGGTGAGAAGAAAACCAATGAAGAAAATGCGTCAAATGAGGAGAATCATGAAAAGAATGAGATCAGCATCATGGACGCCATTATGGACAATAACGAGTGGTTAATCGTAGGTGCGTCAGAGTTCAGAGATCTTCCCTGGCTTACTGCAAACAGCACTGAAGAAAAACATACGCAGCTGGAAAAAGAAGGCCAAGTCAAGACTGGTTTAGCCAAAGAGGACGAAGAAACAGCGAATAAAAGAGTAGCGACTGTACCGCCTTTGTCGCAAGTGGTTAACGTAACCTTCAGGATTCACTACATCACATACTCTCCTAGACAGCTGGTGGCTGTTACCGGGAGCTTGCAGGAGTTGGGGGCCTGGAAGAGTTTCGTTCCGCTCCACAGAGCCAAGGACGGGTTCTGGGCCAACACGATCACCCTCCCTGTGGAGAGCCAGGTGGAGTGGAAGTTCGTCCTGGTGGAAGATGGAAGGATCTCTCGCTGGGAGGAGTGTGGAAACCGTTATCTCTTTTTAACCAGCCAAGATGAAGAAGTCTATCTTGACAAGTGCTGGGGATGTTGCTGAACACAGAGGTGACTATCTACTACACTCTTAAAAACAAAGGTTCTTTTGGAGCATATATGGAGCATCCATGAAGCACCCTTAACATCCGTGGAACCTTTCCAATATGTTCTCTGCACTAATACAAAATAAAATTAAGAACTGTTCATCATAATGTTCTTTGAGGAACCAAGAATGGTTCTTTTAGAACCTTTATTTTTAAGATTGTATGGCTGCACGATTAATAAAAAAAATAAAAAATGAAATCACAATATGGCTGCTCCACATGATCTCCATCTCTGAGTTTGGGTCTCTTTAACATGTATTTGGGAAAGCAACATGCTCCAGTCTTACCATACTTGTAGTGAGAGACGAACTTTGAGGGGATTTGTCAAAATAAACGATTGGTTTAATGTTTAATAATAATCATTCTAATATTATAAAATGTTATTTAGCAATACTGATATAAAATCATAAAATTCTGGCCAAATTGTGCAGTCCTACTAACAAGCACAGCACCCTTGATTTTTTTAAAAAGAAATTACATTTTAAATCACAATTGCAAATTAGATCAAACATAGCAAATCGTGCAGCCTTACTATCTTCTTCCAACTCTATACAGCAATAATAATCCTTAGTGCATTATTGAAATCCAATACAGTATGTAAGATTATATTATAATGTTGTTGATTGTTAATGAAATATTTTAATAAAGCATGAGGCTGTGGAACTGTTACTATAGCAATAATATTATAACATTTCAAATATGCACTTTTTTACTTCAATAAATGATATGTGTCTTGATTATATCCAACTGTACTGAAAACTATAATCCTGTAACAGCGGTGTACCAAAATTGAGAAAATCCACTAATAATTCCTTCATGCATAAGGGAATAATCCTAATGCTTTCAGAGGTTGAAACATCTTTTTTGAAGTGTATCTCCATTCTGAGAATGTGTTGTGTGCTGTATTATTTTAATATATAATGTTGCAACACTGATCTTTTCATGATGTCACTCTTATATTTAACTTTAGCCTGGAAACATACTCTATGCAAGTGAACAGACGCCTGGTTGAATGAATGAATTAATAAATAAATAAATGCTTGGTTGATGCAAATATACAGTCTCAGTTCTCATATAAGAAACCTCAGGTGGAGTTTCCTTCAAATATTACTGAATTTGTTAGTCAGGTTTCTAGCTATGCATTTGTTGACTTTGGCTTAACCTTGTTAAGTGTTAAAACTGAATGCTGAAAAGTCAACAAGTGCTAATTTCCACTTTTGCCTTGTGGCGATCCTGACCCTGTGTCCAAAATCGAATAATTTGCTACTATGTAGTATGCGAAAAACACTACGTCAACATAGTATAGACCCCTGCCAACCGTGAAGGGGTCTAGATATCCAAAATAAAGGCTAGATGTCTTACGGCCGAGTCTCTATCGTCATCACCGGCGGCCATCTTGTCACAGGCAAGCTTTCTGGCGGGCTCTGTGTTACCTGGTGTAAGATACTCTTATCTCGTTGAAATCTTGAGGGATTTACAAACGGTTTGGTTTCTCACAAACGTTATTATATATAACAAACCAAACCGTTTGAAAAAAAGTTATGGTTATTTAAAATACATGCACCATTAAAACACAATGTTATGAGTGAGCGAGCTGGCTGTGACAAGATGGCCGCCAGGTGCGGATGTCGACCTCCATTGGCCAGCAGCGTGGACGAGACATCTAGCCTTTTATTATGGATATCTATGATCTATATAGTATGTCCGAATGCATAGTATGCGAAAAACATTAGGTGGAAAGTCCCCGTATGACCTACTAATTCAGGCAAGATTCTGAAGTCCGTATTGAATAGACACTTTACTATCCCATGAGGCCACGGAAGAGGATTTATGAATGGCAGTGAAGCGACCTGGTAGGTCAAATGACAGTAACAACATGACGGATGTAGTACGTCCAAATTCATTCATACTACACACATTCATACACTACTATACAGAACGATTCCGGAAGCAGCGTGAGAATACAATATTCAGTTATTCTGAATTTCGTCACACTAAGAAAAAAATAGTTATTTTAAGAAATGATCCCCAGAAAGGTTGCTCTGTCTCGACAATATTTGATCTAAAAGAGAAAACTAAATATGGAAGAAGTCCACTTGTGCTAATGCCAGCTATAGCGTCCCTTGTGGTGACACTGAGAATACAGCGTGTAGTTATTCTGCATTTTTAATTGGCGGACACATTTCAGAACACTTTTTAGCTTGAATTGCCTGAAACTTTAGTGTTTACTTACTTTCATAGAGTATCTTTCAGGCATGTGATATGATTGTCCAAGTATGCTTTGAATGCTTTGTGAACTGCTTGAGCAATGCAGAACACCCACCAGCCAAAAACCACGGTTTTCTTTGTAGGAGTTTGGTATCCTATACTCTGACTCTAATATGTTAAATGCAGACATTAAAATCAGCTTACTCTTTACAAATCCCAGCCTGGACTGTTTGCATAAACCCATTCTCTAAATCACAAGCTAAAACGCTACTGTACCCTTGATTCTATTACATTATTTAAGAATGTGACAATGGCATCAGCATTCCTGCTGACAACATCACTATAGATTTTTGTTTGCCATCACTGTCAACTGCATGTTGAACACACTAATTTAGTCCTTACAGAGATTTGATGCTTTTTATTTTAGCAATGAATTCTAAAAAAAAACAACAGCAAAAAACATGAATATATTTTTATTGTTTCACAACGACTGCCTTAAAACCTTTGCTGCTTACACTTTTGACTAAACATGTTTATGTGTCTGTTGGCTGTTTTTCTTTTTCTGTGAATTTCAGGTGTAATACTGTTTCTGACCTTTAAACGTATGGTATGTTTAACTGTCAATCAGTAAATGTCACTCAGCAAATTACTTAATTCAATAAAGTAAATTATTAAATTGACAATTTCTTGCTTACTGTATTTTACATCTTTCACTTAAGGACAAATACTGTAAAAATTATATATATATATATATATATATATATATATATATATGTGTGTGTGTGTGTGTGTGTGTGTACAGTATAGCCTACACTGCCCAGTCAAAAAAAAAAAGTCGCTGGATTTAAATAGGCAAATGCTTAAAGGAGTAGTTCACTTTTTTTTAAAAACTTTTGCTGATAATTCACAAGATGTCCATGTCTTTCTTTCTTCAGTCAAAAAGAAATTAAGGTTTTTGCTGAAAACATTCCAGGATTTTCTCCATATAATGGACTTCATTGGGAACCAAACGGTTCAAGGTTCAAATGAGAGTTTCAGTGCAGCTTCAAAGGGCTTTAAACGATACCAGACGATGAATAAGGGCCTCATCTAGCGAAACGATTGATCATTTAAAAAATAAATAGTTTAAGTTTTATAAGCACAAATGCTCGCCTTGCTCTCTTCTGTGATGAGCGTTCGTGACTCTCTTGTTCAAACTCGTTCTTCAAAATGAACAAATCTTTTTGATAAGACCCTTATTCATTGTCTGGTGTTGTTTAAAGCCCTTTGAAGCTGCACTTTTTTTTTTTACTCCTTTAAGAGTCTATGATTGGATCATTATAGTGCCGAAGTTATGACGTCACTTTGTAGGCCAAAACGCGGAAGTGAGTTAGCATTTTAGCACTTCCGGTTCCCTCGCCCTAAAGTTTTAGCTTTTTGATCGAGTGAACCCATGCGCCGCTAACTTCTATAACCCATACGTCCTTCTAACCCTAATTGATGGAGTGTGTAGCTTTCATTTCTTAAACAACCATGCAGGAAAACACATCATGACCATATTCCATGATGACAAGGTCCATCAGGCTCAGACTGTATAAGAATGGTTGGGAGGAGCACGAAGAATCATTTTCACACATGAGTCGGCTCCTCTGAGTTCAGATCTTAATTTCTTTGAAAGTGTTTGGGATGTGCTGGAGGAGACTTTACTTTACAGAGTACTGGACTCTTGCATTGACAATACAAGATCTTGAGCAAAAATGTATGTGCCTCTTGATGGAAATAAATATTGTGATGTTATTTCCATCAAGAGGTGCATCAATCAAACCATCATAGGGTAAAGATCATGAGCAAAAGTAAAACTGTGGAACTGACACACTAATCGTCCTTTTAGATTAGTTTGTGTTAATCTTCCCAGCAGAGGTCGAAGAGAAGCACTGAATATGTCTGTGAAGTTTGAACACAATTGTCAAAACTTGCTAAAATCGATACTTTCTTGGCCAAGTCTGAACATACAATTGGGGTTCAATGCGAATGATTCTCGTGTCCTTGACGTGCGGACAATATGATAAACTACCGTAATCACAAACTCAACATTGCTGTCCTAATGAAAATGAAAGAGAATGAATCATGTCCTCTACACTGACTGTGTGATATTGCAGTGTTTGTTTGCTTCAGTCCACTGCAGCACTATTTGCTGTTTTACCCCAAACACACAGTGACTTTGGCCTCTGACAGGATCATGAAACATTAATGGGTTCAAAGGAAGTTTAAGTCGGATGTGATGGAACATTCTACATGTAATGCAAGATTTCATATTCTTCTTCATGACATCCTTTCATTACTTATCATTGTTTTTCCCCTCAGAGAATTTTCTATGTGTGACAGAAACAGATCGAGAGCATTTGCATGAGTTTGCCAGTGCACCAAAGGCCTGTAAATGATTCATTTGACCACAAGAGAAGTTATTTCAGGTCAGAAAACTTAGAAGTAAAACTTAAAAGGGCCTAAAATGAAAACCAGTTGGCTTACACAGTTAAATGCCAGTCAAAGCAAATGCAATGCAGTCTTCGGAGATCTTAAACATCTGAACTGTTCAGTTTGGGGTCGGTAAGATTACTACTTCTCACCAAGGCTTTATTTATTTGATCAAAAAATGCAATAAAAACAGTAATATTGTGAAATATTATTTCAATTTAAAATAATCGTTTTCTATGGGAATATATTGTAAAATGTAATTTATTCCTGTGATCAAAGCTGTATTTTCAGCATCATTACGTCTTCAGTGTCACATGATCCTTCAGAAATCATTTGATGAATTGCTGCTGTAGAAACATTTCTGGTTATTATCAGTGTTGAAACAGTTGTGCTGCTTAATATATTTGTTGAAACCGCAATATGTTTTTCAGGATTCTTTGTTGAACAACTCTTGCAACAGTAAATACACAAAGTCATCTGCATGTAGTTTTGAAGAGGCTCCAGACAGAGATAGAAAGGGGGTCATCTCTGAATATCCCAGCCCTCCTCGGAGAGAACGGACTTCTGACTCTAGTGTAAAACAGGTTTAGCTTTCTGTGACCTAGTTTATCTTTTCAGAAGAAAAGCTTAAACCAGCCTAAAGTGTCTGTAGTTTGTTGCCAAGTTTGTTTTCACTGATCAGACTGGTCTATATTGTTTTGGTTAGACACTGGAAGGCTAGTTTAACCATCTTGGGTTTTTTTTTTAGTTTTTCATTTGTTTGTTTGTTTTCAGGATAACTAAGTTTGACTCAATGCACCTTTTAAAATGGGCACTGAAAATGGGATGCTGATTGGTTCAAAGTACAGAATTGATAGTAGCTAACTGATAACATTTAGGATGTGATGGTCCACATTGACCATTACAAAAACTGTGATTACCATGCCAGTGTTTTATTATCATATTCATGTTCATCAATAGTACTAGTGTCCATGGTAAATTGTTGTATGGTAATGATACTTTTTGTAAGGAGTGCGTATACTATTATCATCTATTAATTTATGTATTAGGGAAGTTTGAATATAGTTTGCATTATGCTGTTGGATCAGCATGCAGTTCAGATACTCTAGTCTAGAGTGTGTTTATTTTAAAGGTGTTAAAGTGTGTGTTAAGCAGAAAGAGTTGCTATTGCTTTTATTAGAAATCTCATTTACACCGTTCAGGCTTCACTATATTCTCCTGTGAGTTTCTATGACAAACAAATTCACAGACAATTGACACCTGAGAGAAGGGACTTACTCAAATGTGCCACAGCCAAACGGGAGCTTATTTATCATATGACAAGGTGTGACATTTTAGATCTACGCAAAGCTGCAGTTGTGTTGCAGGGTTTGACCTCTGACCTCTGTATACATCTCTGGTATAGGGCTTGATCATCTTTGAGCCATAGATGATTTATGGGCTGTGTTTGAGTATTTACAAATATTTGACTTCAATGTTTGCATTTATTTGATCAAAAATAAAGCATTTCACAATCTGAAATACTCAGACCGGCCCGTCTGGCACCAACAACCATGCCACGCTCACACTCAACCACACTTTCTTTCCCATTCTGACATTCGGTTTGG